CTCTTCATTTCTATGAACTCTCATTTCTTCTCAAATCTTATTTGCTATTAACAAGTTTGTTTTACTTTCAAGCCATTTTACCTTTTCATCAATAACTCATTCAATTTCTTCCTTTTAGTTAATATTTCTTTTTCTTTTATTATTTTCATCAATTTTCTTTCAAGTTTATTATTTTTAACCTTATGCTTTAAAGCCTTTATATTCTAAATCAATCTCTACCTCAAAAGTTTCTTTATCTTATCAACTTTGTCTGACTTCAATCTTAACTCTTTCTTCTGGGTGTAATCTCTCTTTCTAGTTGCTATTTACCCTTTCTCATCTTTTCCTTCAATTTTAAGATGAGGCGTGAGCATAACTCCTCGCGCACCGACATTTCAACACCCCTAGTTCGAAGAATGTACCGACGCCTCAAGTAAAGAAGACACGTGGCGATCCGTTCGGAACACCAGAATCAAGCGATGAGTTTTTTTAACATGTCAGCTCGTTGCCTTAAACACTTCAAAACGGGTCAAACCGAATCGTTATTAGAACAGCGCAAAAATCATGACGGATCGACACCGTTAATAAAATTCGCGCGAACATTTAGAATATTTCCCGGTGAATCGGGACCTAGCTGAGTCACGAAAAGAAAGCGAGGGAAACGCGAAAATGTTCGCGCCTCGTTAGTAACAGGAATAGTTCAGAGGTGTTAGATAGCTAGCAGTAGAAATAGCCTAGAGCATATAAAAATGTATGTTATGAATAATGAAAAACACACTCTGCCAATCATTTACTCTCACACGCTGCTATCGATTTGACATTTGCTATCAAAGGATTCTCTGCCTACGCCGTGACGAGGACTTCCACTTCTGTAACTCTACGCTACTGAATCGCCCTTTCTGTCAGAATGTTATTCTCTAGCCTGTAGTGGGGTGCTCTATAGCGAGTACAACCCATCTAGGGTTTGCTATATGTATCCTCATTGCTGCTAGTGAAACCCCCTCTTTGCCTAAACTTTCTCTTGCCTAGCTAGGGTTCTCCTAGCTATGGCTCCTACTTCTCGCTACTATCTTCACACTTTCAACAAACTCGGACCCTTGGATAGGGGCTGATTTCAATCAGGCACCCAAGGACCCTCAAAGGTGACCCTGAGAAGAGTTGTTTTAGTAATAGTAAAGGCATCCGCGACAGGAACTAGGTGCCATTCTCGTAACACTAGTGTTCCTAGATTTGTTGATGTACTAAAGTTATTGTGGTTATAGCACCGAATTAGGTTGCGTGCAACAAATTCTGTTTCATTTCGGTTATTCACATCGTAACTTTGAGTATGCGTGATCCACCGAATTGATTCTACCAAAATCCAAAAGGTCCTGTTCGCGATGCTTCGTGAACCTAGGAACATTCTCGTAACACCTGGTAACGTTGCCCTGTTTTGAGCCTATATATAGTCACGTTTCATAACATATTTTCTGAACTCGGAGTTTTTCATTTGCTAAAAACTAGTAGGGGGGTTCATGATAATCACGGTGATTCAAGTACGTAAAAAACGGAACCGCGTGTTTTTTTTTTTTTGTTTTTTTTTTTTTGTTTTTGTTTTTGTCTTTTTTTGTTTTTTCCCACACCTCAATTGGTTAATAGAACAAGCATGGAGGGCATTGGTGACCGCTTCTTGTTAGAAACTAGTATGAATGAATGAACTAGAAACAGTTGGGATACAACTAGAAACCCTAGAATGTGTTGTACCCCATGTAAGCTACCCCACTACAGCCTACAAACAACAAACATCATAATAGTTTAACACACCCCCATAGGCAAAGTGGGGGAGAACCAGTGGTCACAAGACCAGTCAAAGCAAAGCAAGCTCAGGGTGGATCATAACGTCACCACACACTCTGAGCACAAACAAATGGCCACAAGGCCAGTTCACATGCAGAGTTATATAAAGCAAAGCAAACAGTACAGTGATCACAACCTAGCAAGTGTAAGCATGCAGATATATATTTATATACATATATATCACAGACAAGCAAGGTTACGCAGTGAGCAAGTGAGCAAACGTAGGCACAAGGCCTAAAGCAGTACAGAGACGCTAATAATCACCAAACGGAAGTGCCTTGGTGAATATATCAGCAGAACTCTCGAGCAAGGAGGTAATGCAGAGCGATCTGCTTCGTTCTGTGCTCTAGTCTGTGCTCCTGACACAAGGCAATAGCGGCCTTGTTGTCTACGTACAGGACTGGAGGAGAACTAGGCCGCTCTCCCAAGTCAGTCAGCAGGTAGGTGAGCCAGCGTAACTCCTGTGCAGCCATGGCTCCTGCATAGATCTCAGCCTCACAACTGGAGCTGAGAACAAAAGACGAGCGGGTAGACCGCCAAGAAACAGAGCCGGAGCCAAGGCTGAAAGTGTAACCCTGTGACGATCGCTGCGTAGCCAGGTCGTCAACCCAAGACGCGTCTGAGTGTCCAGTAAGGACAACTGGACCCTGTCCTCCAAGCACGAGCCCCATGCACGATGTACTGCACAAGTAGTGCAACACCCTCTTAGCGGCCTCCCAGTGCTCTGGTCGGTGTCTCCCGGGTGCAAGGTAGCGTGCCAAGATGCTAAGAGGGTACGCAAGGTCAGGTCGCGTGCAGGTCATCAGGTACATGAGGCAGCCCACAAGCTTTGGATACGGGCCACTCGGCTCTACGGACTCGTCCGAAGGTGGAGCTGAGAGCGAGAGACCAGTAGGCAGAGGAGTGGAGTATGGTGAGTAGAACTGAAAGCCGAAGCGCTGAAGGACCTGGTGCACCATGTGTGACTGAGTCAGGGTGATGGTGCGCCGTGCTCTGTCTAGGTGATCTGGAAGCCAAGGTAGCTCCGCAGCTCACCTAGGTCTATGGACGTGTGTCTCTTCTGCATCTCCGACTTCACAAGGGCCGGTGCCTCAGTGTCAGCGGTGGCAAAAACCAAGTCGTCAACGTACACGAGAATGTAGAACGGCGGCAACGACGTGTCTGTGCGCAGAAACAGTGACAGGTCAACAGTTGAAGGAGCAAACCCGAGAGCAGCAAGTGTCGTAAGTCCGTGGGTCTCTGTGCAACGCGCGACTGGCGGAGCTGATGCAGATCTCTCTGCTGCTGTATGAGATGGACTTACCTAATTTCCTGGACACCTGGAAGAGCCTCAAAGAGAGGTGCCTGGCACAGAGCGTCGTTTTCCCAGCTGAAGATCGGAAGCGCAAGGAGAAGGAACCGGAGGAGGAAGAAGAGGGACCCAGCGAGCCGGCTGGCGAGGAGGAGTTCGCGGATTCAGACGATGATGGTGACGACCGGGAGATGGATCAGGAGATTTAGCAGTCGCCACCCCGAGATTACTCAGACGAAGAAAACGACCCCTTCCTGTCCAATGGCGAGGAGGAGGGGGAAGAGATGTACCACATAGATAAGCAGGCACACTAGGATTCTTAGTGTTGTGTAATTCGAAAGCCGCAGGGCGTAGTTGTTGTCTAATGAAGTCATGAGGAATGTAAAAAAAAAATACAAATAGGACCCTGTGTGAACAGACTACGACTTTTCTGGAGACTGGGCAATCAGAGTGGCCAAAATTTGGCCAAAGTACCATCAGGGTAAAACGGAAAAAAAAAAAAAAAAAAAAAAATAGTGCAATCAGGGGACCCAAATTTGAAACGTCAGCCCTGTGTGCTGGTTGTGAGGAGGTCCTTGCGTCACCTTTCCGCAATGCTTGAAGGTCTTTCTCCATGGTTGAATGAACTAGGAATGGTTGGGATACAAGTAGAAACCCTAGAAAGTGTTGTACCCCATGTAAGCTACCCCACTACAGCCTACAAACAACAACTAGCATAATAGTTTAACACACCCCCATAGGCAAAGTGGGGGAGAACTAGTGGTCACAAGACCAGTCAAGAAAAACAAAGCAAGCTCATGGTGGATCACAACGTCACCACACACTCCGAGCACAAGCAGATGGCCATAAGGCCAGTTTACATGCAGAGTTATGAAAAACAAAGCAGAGAGTATAGTGATCTCATCCTAGCAAGTCAAGACATGCAGGTATATATATAGATCACAGTACAAGCAAGGTCACGAAGTGAGCAAGTGAGAAAACGTAGGCACAAGGCCTAAAGCAGTACACAGACGCTGATGATCACCAGGCGGAAGTGCCTTGGTGAAGATATCAGCTGTGTTGGCCCGAGTGGCCACGTAAGCAAGACAAAGCTGGCCACGCTGCTGCAACTCTCGAGCCCTGAAGTAGCGCAGAGCGATATGCTTCGTTCTGTGCTCCAGTCTGTGCTCCTGACACAAGGCAATAGCAGCCTTGTTGTCTACGTACAGAACTGGAGGAGAACTAGGCCACTCTCCCAAGTCAGTCAGCAGGTAGGTGAGCCAGCGTAACTCCTGTGCAGCCATGGCTCCTGCGTAGATCTCAGCCTCACAACTAGAGCTGAGAACAGAAGAAGAGCGGGTAGACCGCCAAGAAACAGAGCCGGAGCCAAGGCTGAAGGTGTAACCCTGAGACGACCGCTGTGTAGCGAGGTTGTCAACCCAAAAGGCGTCTGAGTGTCCAGTGAGGACAACTGGACCCTGTCCTCCAAGCACGAGCCCCATGCCCGATGTACTGCACAAGTAGCGCAGCACCCTCTTAGCAGCCTCCCAGTGCTCTCGCCTGTGTCTTCCAGGGGCAACGTAGTGAGCCAGGATGCTAAGAGGGTACGCAAGGTCAGGTCGAGTGCAGGTCATCAGGTACATGAGGCAGCCCATAAGCTCTATATATGGGCCACTCAGCTCTACGGACTAATCCGAAGGTGGAGCTGAGAGCGAGTGACCGGTACGCAGAGGAGTGGACTGTGGTGAGGAGAACTGGAAGCCGAAGCGCAAAAGTACCTGGTGCACCATGTGTGACTGAGTCAGGGTGATGGTGCGCCGTGCTCTGTCCCAGGTGATCTGCAAGCCAAGGTAGCTCCGCAGCTCACCCAGGTCTGTGCACGTGTGTCTCTTCTGCAGCTCCGACATCACAAGTGTCAGTGCAAGTGCCTCAGTGTCAGCAGCGAAGTGTCTATGCACAGATACAACGACGAGTCAGCAGTCGAAGGAGCAAACCCGAGAGCAGCACGTGTCGTCCTCAGTGTGGCGTGCCACTCACGAGGCGCCTGGCAGAGACCGTAGACTGGCCGCCTGAGGCTCCACTGGGTACCAGCAGGAAACGACCCAGTGAAGCCAGGTGGGCGGCGCAGCCAGATCTCCTCGTGAAGGCTGCCCTGTAAGAAGGCTATGCTGAAGTCAAGAGAGTGAAGCTCGTAGTTACGCTGAGCGGCAACGTGCAGCAGCACCCGAAGAGTAGTCATCTTCGGGGTAGGGGAGAAGGTCTGGAAGAAGTCAACTCCTTGTCGCTGACTGAAGCCTCGTGCAACGTAACGAGCCTTGAAGACAGGCGGAGAACCCGGCGGCCGCTTCACCCTGAAAATCCACATGCCATCGGCTATGTTCGCCCCAGGAGGGGGACTTGTGTCGACGTAAGTGCCTGTGGACTTCCAGGATGCCATCTCTGCGTCCATGGCTGTCTGCCAGTGAGAGGAGTAGGGACCCGTAATCGCCTCTGCATAAGAGCGCGGGGTCGGGATGTCCAGTGCATCCGGGTCTCCCTCAGGTGCAAGCAGCCAGGCCACGAGATGAGGTACAGTAGCCGCAAGACACTCAAAGTCCTCCTGCCTGTCCTCAAGGACGTCCGTGCCAAGAGCACACTCACCCCCGACGGACGGAGGATAGACAGACTCAGACTCAGCAACAAGACTAGTGGCGTAGTCTAGGTGACACGTAGCAGCAAAGTCCACAAGCTCAGCAACTAAGGCAGACGCAGTAGTGGACTCAAACGACAGATCAGTAACGACAGTAGTGAGGAGACGCGTGATAGTGGGGCTGGCAGCACGAACCAAGTCAAACTCAGCGTTCGGAACATCAGGAAGAGAGGACGAAGGAGGAGACGGCAGAGGGACGCGCTGTGGAACAGAGGAAGGACGAAGTGCCATAGTGTGAGTGCCTGGCACAGGAGGAGGACGCGGACGCGAGACACAACGAGCACGGCGAGCAGTGCGAACAGGGGAGGTAGGACGAGACGCAGGCTCACGACGCTCGGTAAGGGAGGCTAGCTGGTCAGTGTAAGGAGGGGGGGCAAGCAGCGGTGAGTCCTGAGGAAGGTCAGTGGACGAAGGAAGACTAAGAACCTGACGGAGCACCAACTCACGCGGTATTGAGGACAGCTGCGGCCGCGGTAAGAAAAACGGTCGCTGCTACACAGTGTCCCCGGCATCAGTTCCTCCAGCTCCAGTGGCTCCAGCTCTAGCGCCTCCAGCTCCAGCACCTCCAGCTGCAACGTCTCTAACTCCAGCGCCCCCAGCTCCAGTGTCACCACCTCCATTGCCTCCAGCTCGAGCACCTCCTGCTCCAACGCCTCCAGCTGCAGTGTCTTTAGCTCCAGCACCAGTAACTCCACCACCTCCAGCTTTAGCGCCCTCAGCTCCAGTGCCACCAGCTCCAGCTCCCGTACCTCCAGTGCCAACGGCTCCAGCGCCTTTAGTGCCAGCGCCTCCAGCTCCAGCGTCTCCAGCTCCTGTGACACCATTTCTAGTGCCTCCAGCTCCAGCACCTCCAGCTCTAGTGCCTGCAGCTCTAGCACCTCCAGCTCCAGCTCCTCTAGCTCTAGCAGCGCGACTCCGAAGGCGTGTGCGGCGAGCAAACCACTCGCGCAGCTGCTGTGGTGAGAAAGAGTCTCCCGCTGGCCAGACCGCTGCAGCGAGGCACGCTGAGGACCTCCAGGCACAGGACCCACAGACTCATCACCAGCAAGCTCAGCACCCCCAGATGTTGCATCCCGAGGCTTAGCACCCTCAGACACAGCACCCCTAGGCCCAGCACCCCCAGGCTCCGCACCCCCAGGCTCAGCACCCCCAGGCTCCGCACCCGCAGGCTCAGCACCCCCAGGCTCAGCACCCCCAGACGCAGCACCCCGAGCAGCACCACCCCCAGCAGCACCAGAGTCACCAGTGACCTCTACAAGCTCAGCCAAGGGAAACGGGTCTACCTTAGAGACACCTGAAGGAGCAGGACCCTGAGGGGGGAGGGGGTCTACCGGAGGGGGACCTGGAGCGAGGAAGAGCGGCGGAGGGGGGAGAGGGGCAGTGCAGTAGGGGAAGAGACGGTAAAAGGGAACCGACTCGTCAAACGTGACGTCCTGAGAGGGGAAGACCCGGTGCGAGTTGGGGTGGTAAAACTGCCAGCCAGGCGCGTCAGGGGGAAAGCCAAGGAAGACGCAAGGGACGGCGCGAGAGGAAAGCTTGTCCGCAGTGGTATCGCGGACAAAGGCACGAGAACCTGAGACCCGGAATCGCGACGCATCGCCAACCTCCCCTGTCCAACGCAGTGTGGGCGAGGTCTCCGACAAGGAGACACGGGGCCAGAGGTTGAGCTGATGTGCGGCGTACCGGACCGCAAATGGCCACAGAAAATGGGGAGCAGCCGCGTGGATCATGGAGGTACGAGCCACCTCCATGACTAAGCCAATGCGGTGCTCAGCAACCCCATTCTGCTGCGCGAGGCTGGGAGCGTGAACGACTGGAGAATGCCCTCCCCCTTACAAAAGTCCCTCAAGAGGTCGGAGGAGAACTCACCACCTCTGTCGGAGTGCAGACGCAGGACAGGAAGGTCCGTACGGAACCACTCGCGCAGCTGGAGACAAACAGCTCGGATCCAAGGGATCAAGACATCAGGGACCTCCCCCTTGCTGCGCAAAGGGAAGACCGTGGTGTAACGCGAGTAGTCGTCAACAACCAGCAGAAAGTACCACTTGCAACCCTGTCCACGGACGCGGGCTGGGCCCCACACGTCCATGTGGAGAGTCTGCAAGGGAGCAGTCGTCGGGGGAAACGAGGAGGAGTGAGGAGCAGCGCGCTGCCGCCCCTCGACGCAAGGAATGCAAGGCGGCGCAGGCGAGGGTGGGAGGGGAGGCAGAGACCTGGGAAGACCAGAGACAAGGAGGCGGGAGTGCATGCCACGGAGGCGTGGTAGGGAGGGGTGACCAAGGCAGTGGTGCCAAAGGAGAGTTTGGTGCGACAGGAGGCAACACTGGCAGGGGGCTGCTACCTGACCGGACGCGGACTACTGAGCAGACGCAGCGACCTGAGGCGGCGCAGTAGTCAGTGTGTACAGACTCGACCCAGGCCGACGGGTGAACGTGGCCAGGTGTTGGCCAGTCCGAGAGCACGTACAGATCGCCACACGCTGCCGTCCAGGGGTAAAGGTATCAACCCCTGCATCCTGAAGAACTACGGTTCTCACCAAGTTCGTCGAGAACGAGGGGAGGTGGAGACCTAACAGTGAGCCGGGCGGAACCGCCGGACACGGGAGCACAGTGGAGGAACGTGTACAAACCGGGCCCCCAGAGGGGTCAGCCAGGGAAACTGCAACAGGTCTAATGAGTGGTGTGACTGTGGTACTATCGCGAAAGAAACAGCGAGAAGCACCTGAGTCAAGCGTGAAGGTGTGCAAGGCCTCAGCAGGCGCAGTACCAGAGAGAGCAGACTCACTAGCACCTAGAGCAGCAGCCTCTATACCTGGGTCAGGCGGCACACACAGGTAACAGTCACCCTCAGCACTAACAGTCAAAGCATACATGCCAGCAAGGATAGCATCATAGTCAAGAGCAAAGATATCAACACCAGACCTAAGCAGCTCATCCCAGCGGGGCATCTCAGTGCGCCAAGCGTCGTCTAGGCGGGAGAAGCAGCGGTGCTGGGTGTGAAACTTCCCGCACGTCTGACCAGAGTGGTCACCTGTGCGAATGATGTACAGGCAGCGAGCACTACCCCCAGACGCCCCACGCTGAGCAAACCACTCACGAAGCTGCTGGGGCGTGAGGGTCTCACGCGGGCGCTGCTGTTGCTGCCGCTGAACTGCTCCTGTCCGACCACCACTACTGCCGTCGCCACCACTCCCTCCGCCACCACCGCCGCCGCCACCACGCCCACTACCGCCACAACCACCACCACTACCACCCCCACCGCTGCCGCCATCTCCGCCACCGACCCCCCCACTCCCGCCACCATTCCCACCGCCACCTCCGCCACCTCCACCGCCTCCACCGCCTCCACCACCACACCCCCTGCCACCACCTCCACCACTCTGGCCTCCCTTGCCCTTGCCGCTGCGGCGCTTTTCACTAGGAGTAGAAGCAGCAGAGGCAATAGAGGGGGCAAGGGGGGAGGGGGAGCACCCCTCAAAGAAGGGCGTGCGAGGAGTGCTATGAGTAGCACCTACAACGACTATGCTGGTCTCAGCTGCAAGGAGGTGCTTCTCGAGCAGGTCGATAGTGAGGGTTGTGGGGTTAAGGGCGAGAAAGGTGTCCGGGACCGCGCTAAGTGAGTCAGGGAGGTGAGTGACAATAAAGTAGAGAGTGATGTAAATTGGGGGCTCGTTCTTGGGGACAAACTCGGCTGGGAGGGCAGCACGGTAGCGAGCATCCATAGTGCGAAGGTGGGTGATGAGGTCCTCTACAGTGGCAAAGGAGGACAGCTCGGGAAACAGGTAGGGTAGCATGAGACGGCCGAGGGCTGCAGTGGCAGGGGAAGAGCAGCGGGCGACTACAGCGTCGTACAGGGCCTTAGCAGTTTTAGGCTGGTCAAAGTGAGCGCGTTCGGCTATCAGCAGATGGTTGCGAACGGCTAGGCGAGCGGCAGCGTCACGAGTAAGCCGCCGTGAGCGAGTCGCACTGTCAGCTCTGTCGGGAGGGGCAGGATAGGCTCCACACGTGTGGTCAAACAGTGAGACATTGTCTTTCGAATCGCTCAACAGGTACAGCTGTAGGTCCTGAAGCCAAGTCTCAAACTTGATAGGACGGCCCGCAGGATTGAACTCGAGAACACTGAGAGTGGCCATGACGTAGCAGTGCAGGGAGGCGCGTAGGGCAGGGCAGGGCAGTGCGCGGGCAGAAATGTTAGCGCACGGGCTGTAAGAGGTGGCGCGCAGGCAGCAGACGGACGGCGCGCAGGCAAGTAGGAGCGGCTCGCTGCAAGCGAGGTGGCGCGCAGGTCTGCACATGGCAGCACGTAGGCAGGCAGAGGCGGCGCGCGGCTGGCAGGACAGCACGCAGGCAGAAAAGGAGGCCGCGCGTTGGCAGTAAAGCTGCGCGCGGGCAGAGCAGGGCGTGCGCGGGGCGGTGCGACGCGGGGGACGGCAAGCGCGGGTGACGCGACGGCAGGCAGGGCGTACGCAGGCCGCGCGACGGGCAGGGTAGGGCGGACGCGAGGTGCACGACGCGGGCAGGGCGTGCGCGGGCTGCGCGACGGGCAGGGCAGCGTGTGCGGGGGCGGTGCGACTCAGGGCTGGGCACGCGCGGGCAGCGCGACGCGGGGCAGAGGCGTGCGCGGGTGGGGCACGACGCAGGCAGGGCGTGTGCAGGCAGCGCGACGCAGGCAGGGCAGAGCCAGCGCAGGCAGTACTACGCGGGGCAGGGCAGGGCAAGGTAGCGCGACGGGTGGGGCAGCGCTAAGGGCAGGGTACGATCAGGTGGGCCCTAATAAGAACAGTCCTGGAGCAGGACCTGCTCTGAAGCCATGATAGAAACTAGCAGGAACGAATGAACTAGGAACAGTTGGGATACAAGTAGAAACCCTAGAGTGTGTTCTACCCCATGTAAGCTACCCCACTACAGCCTACAAACAACAAACATCATAATAATACTTCTTACAGGGGTTCGCCGCCCTTCGTGCCGAATGGGAGCATACGCGGCTGACGCTTCAACGACTCGAGGCGATGCTTGCGAGCCAGTTAGCAGCCGCCACAGCAGTAGCGAAAAGGATAAAAGGGCTTGTTTGTGTAGCGGGTAAGTGCGCCCATAACCCCCCAGGCCAACGTGCCTATAACCCTTCCCTAGGATCAATCGGGGATCTCCAGTGGACCTCTGACATCCCCCCTGCACTGAGATGCCTGAGGTGCACACACTGGGATTCGAAACCGACACCTTCGCTCTGATACCATGTCAGAATACTAGCCACAAACCACTGGGATAAAACGGCTTGTTTGTGTAGCGGGTAAGTGCGCCCATAACCCCCCAGGCCAACGTGCCTGTAACCCTTCCCTAGGATCAATCGGGGATCTCCAGTGGACCTCTGACAATAGCGACACCAACATTTGTACCTGTGACAACGGCCCCAGCTACAGTCCACTTCGAAGCAACGAAGCTGAGGCTACCGGAGGCATTCGATCCCAGCAGGAAGGGGAGCGACGACCGTCAATTTGTAGCTGTGCTCGATATAGATTTCGAGGCCGTTGGATGCACGACCCGACCCACGATGCAACTCAAATTCGGTTTGGCTCGCAACTACACAGTTACGAGGCCTGGTGCTGGAATGGATCTATAGTAACAAAATCGTCCGAGGCAAAGTGTCGTGGGCGCAGTTTAGGGCAGCCCTACTTCAACGTTTTGAACCGATAAATACTTTGTACATGGCGCGGCAGCAGATTCATCGGCATAAGCAGTACACGCATCACTGACTTGGCCGAGGGAGAATAAATACAGGCCTACACTACCAAACAAAAAAGCAAAACTCGCCCAACAGATTATCGTGTGAATTTTGTGGTGAAGCTAGGCGTCAGATTTGGTCGTGCTAGAAAATGAAAAAAGCACGTGCGGAATTGCAGAGCAAGAACATTGCACCACTCCCGAAGTAAAAAAACTACTCGCGCCAATAGCCGCGGATCGAGCTGGTGATGAGGAAAAGATATAGAAAAGGTGAAAAGCAGAAAACGTGGTGACTTCGGAGAGGCTGCAAAGGCTGCAGCTGTGGCAGCTAAAGTGGCGGCTGTGGCTGCTTTAGCGGCAGTTGGGCTGAAGAGGCGGTTGTAGCAATGGTTATAGCACGGGCAGCGGCTGTAGCAACGGTTGCAGCAGTGCTAGAGACAGCAGCAGCTGCGACTGCAGCAGGGGTGGCAGTGGCAGTTGTAGCGGCGGCTTCAGGGGCGGCTGTAGCTGCGGCTATAGTTGCGGCTGCAGCGGCAGTTGTAGCTGTAGCTGCAAGGGCGGTTGTAGCTATGGTTGTAGCGGCGGTAGTGGCTGCGGCTGTAGGGGCGGCCGTGGCTGCGGCTGTAGCTGCGACTGCACGGGCGGTAGTGGCGTTTGCAGTGGCAACTGTATCTTTGGCTGCAGTTGCGACAGTGGCAGTGGCTACAGCTGTAGTAGTTGCATCCGCGGCAGTAGAGTAGCGGGTGGGTGGGGGTGGGGGAGGGCGTGCAGCAGTGAAGCGCGACATGCGTTGCAGTACCGGGCCAGCGGCGCGGCGGCACAGCGGGGTAGGCATTGCGCGAGGTAGCGGGGGCCACGGGGCGCACGTCGTTCGGGGCAGCGGGGCAGCAGGGGCCGTGGGGCGCGCGTCGCGCGCGATAGCGGGGGCCGCGGGGCGTGCGTCGCACAGGGCAGCGGGGCGCACGTCGCGAGGCAACAAGGCAGGGTGGCGCTAGCACGTAGGACAGGGTGACGCGGCGCGGGGCAGCAGAGCACGTGGGACAGAAAAAAAAAAATGAGGGGCAGCTAGGGGCAAGACCAACCGTGGGCCCATCCGGAGAGAAAAAAAAAAAAAAAAAAAAAAAAACTGATTTTAAACGCCGTCCTGAGAAACTAACCGCTCTGAAACCATGTAAAAAACAAGTGTTAGGAATGATTGACTATGAGACAAGAAAGATACGAGTACTAAACCCAACAGGGTTGTACCTCATATGTTATCCTCCACTATAGCCTAAACACTAAGAATTGTACATAATTTGACTAAGTCGCGTGCCTTTGCCCCTGTTTGTTAGCAGAGAATCCCGTGTGCGCGACTTATTTTCAGATGCTATTAAATATCGACTCGAGTAGAATGGCAAGAATGTGATGCACACTTTAGTGCTATTTTTCTCATACTTGTATCTGTTACAATATGAAATGACAGATTTATAGGATCGTCTCAGGTTGATCGCATAGAAGCGTACCAGTGGAAGTCAGGTATGGACTTTGTCAGGCGATTTGAATCTTGACAAAAGTGACTATTGCAATGCGGTACAAGGGTTTTTATAAGAATATATGGGAATACGAAAGGTCCTAGCTAGCCATGTACTCTGAGGGGGTACATTCCCCTTCGAGCTAATATATTATGGGAAAACCCAACTGTACGGTTTGGTAACAATATGCGCCAAGGTAACTGTTTGAAAGTTTTCTCCCGCTTGCACTTCGAATTCTTCCTGCTTTCAACTGTCTTCAATAATTGTTTGTGTCGCTCGGCCTTCGTCCTCGCTACAGTCATCTTCGTGTTCGGGGTTTGTTACTTCGAGGAATGTTACGCAACAATTTCATATCGTAACACTCCCCTTCATTCCAGGAGGAGCAAAATCTTGACGCCCTTTGTTATACCGCAGATGTTCACACAGTGCTGGTACTGCTGACGTGGCTACTTCTTGGTGAGAAAGTCAGCATCCATGTCACTTGTGGGACAGTAAGTCCAGATGACTTTGCCCTTGTCAACTTCGTCTTTGACGAAGAAGTAGCGGAGTGCGATATGCATGCTGCAGTTGACAAAAGCGGGTTTGTTCGCAATATTGATCACGCTCTGGTTGTCGCAGTGAAGTTGAAAGTTCGATTATGTTGCGATTTTCGCCTCCTGGAGCAGCTCTTGGAGGTAAAGTCCTTCGCGAACGGCTGACGTGACGGCGATGATTTCGGCTTCGGCTGAGGAGAATGCCACCATTTCCTGCTTCTCCGAATTGCAGGAAACTGGTCCGGTAGGCTCGAGGCGGAAGAGGAAGCTAGTTCGGGGTCGTTGATTCGCAGGGTCAGCGGCGTGATCTGCGTCCACGTAGCCAACGAGATTGAATGTGCGGGTCGTGAGGGTGGAGAAGGTGAGGCCGTGCGGTGTGGAGATGTACTTTAAGGCGCGCTGCAGGTCCAACAAGTTCTCCCCTTCAGGTCGCTTAGCGTACTGAGTGAGCTGGCTTGAAATGTAGGACAGATCAGGCCTGCAGGTGATTGCAGCGAAGAGAAGACACCCAAGTTACTCGTGGTACAATTGGTGTGCAGATGGGCTGAGTGGTGTTCTGTTAGGAATGCGGGGTGATTCCGGAGAGCATTATGGGGTGGAGAGGTCCGCCAACTTGATGTTGAACTTGGCAGACAGAGTGTCGGCGCACTTGGCGGCGGAGAGATGAATGGCGTCAGCTACGTAGCTGATATTCAGGCCTAGAAATCGGTTGACATGATTGGTGCTGGTGATTTCGATGCGGTTGCTGAGGTTTTTCTTGAATTGGTCAAATAGTTCAATGCCGGTGCCCGTATACGCCGTGAGGAGGATGTAGTCACCGCGGAAATGGAGGCGACACATGCCATGATCGTAGGGTTGCTGGGTGAAGCAGATATCAATGAGGATTTGGTGGAGGTGCCGTTGCCAGTAAACTGATTTCTTGAGTTGGCACACGCGATCATCGTCGCCGCCGTAGGTGTGTGGTTGTTCGACGAAAATGAGAGTATCAACTTTCGCGTAGAGGAACACATTTTTAACCTCGATCTAGCAAATAGGGAGATGCTTTGCGGCGGCGATGGCGAGGAATATGCGGACCGAAGTATGGCGGCTGACGGGGGCAAATGTTTGATCGAAATCAATGCCATGGTGTCGGTCGAAGCTTCACACGACCCAAAAGGCTTCGAAGTGTTCGATGGTTCGATTAGCGGCGGTCTTGACGCAAAAGACCCAATTGCCAGATAGGACGCGTCTCCCCTTCAGCGCGACACGGTCAGCAAGAACCCAGGTTTCACGAGCTTCGAGTGCGGCGACTTCGGCGTCCATTGCTGCGCGCCATTCCTTGGTGTTGGGGTCAGTGAGGGCCTGGCGAGGAGTTTTGGGTTCAATCGCCTT